TAAGAAAATCATTATCTTCCACTGAGGGATGTCTATGAGGCCCTCCCATCACCACTGCAAATTCCTTTCCCCGTGCTCCAACTCCCACCTTCCCCCAATCAAGTATTCTATGTCTTCCTCCTTGGCTATAGGACAGGGAGGTGTAGCAATATCCAGTGTGGTTAACGTTTCGATCCTTAACTTTTCATGAACCTACGTATTGGTCACAAACACATTGTTTAGAGATCTTGCAATTTGCATTTTAAAATCTATGTCTACATATAAACCAGTTTAACTTAATGGAGAGTATTATTATTGCTTTTATTATTATTGTTGTTGTTATCATGCTTTTTATGGAGAAAAGAGGAATACAGTTTTGAGTGGCTTTAACATATGGGCACTAATAGAAATATTTGTGGATTGATTGCTTGTCAAATAAGAGATCTGATTAAATGTTTCATGTGGCATCCAACGGGACATGCTATAGACCAGGAGACTTCAGATAAAAGACCTTATTGTGTAAAAGGTCAGAATAGTGAAGAAAAAAAATACTGGTAGTGAAGAAAATGTCCATGAAGGAAATAGTTCTGTGTGAGGTAGAGAGACATAAATAGGACACTAAAGAGTTCCATTAACAAAGAAGCCTGCCTTCTTAATGGAAAGGTAAGAGAATGGGGTCCATGAGAGCTACCCAGGGGTCACTGACAGGGCAGGACAGGAGAAAGGCCACTTCCCTTGGCCCATCCCTGGTATGAGGGAAGTAGACTTGGATAGGCAGAGAAATGGAGTCAAGATAGTAGTAGAGTTAGAGATAGAGATGTGAGAGGGGAGGGAGGGAGGGAGGGAGAGAGAGGGAGAGAGAGAGGGAGGGAGAAAAAGAGAGAGAGAGAGAGGATGGTAGGTGAAGCTTTCTAGAGAGAGAGAGCTAAATTCACTGAGCTCTTGCTATGGCCACTGTCAGTTACATGATGCAGGCTACCTGCACTTTAAGATAAGGCACAAAAAGGTTATGTAATTTGCCCAAAACCCTACTGAGCTGAAATTCTAATAAGCTAGGCAATCTGGCTCCAGAGACTGCATACTTAACTGCTCTAGTTTAGAACAACAACAAAAAAGATGGCTCACAAAGTAGAATGCCCTATTTTATATTCATCTTATTGTACTCCAGCCATCAAATTCATAATCATACCTAGGGAACAAATAAATGGAGACAGTTTAAAAGTAGAGATAGCTGGTTGGTGTGGCTCAGTTGTGCATCACCCTGTGCACCAAAAGGTTGCTGGTTCAATTCCCAGTCAGGGCACAAGCCAGGGTTTCTGGCTTGATTCCCAGTAGGGGGTGTGCAGGAGGCAGCTGATGGATGTTCCACTCTCACATTGATGTTTTTTCTCTCTCTCTCTCCTTCTCTGTAAAAATAAAAATCACTGCAAAAGTCTTTAAAATAATTTTTAAAAATAGAGATAGACTTGTTTGTAAATGTGCAGACTGGAGGAATCTGGCAGCTATTAATTCAACAAAACAAAATAAAATACAACCAAAAGGCTGCTTACCACATCCTAATAATTGATCATGAGAGAACAGATATCAAAACCTGAACTGACAATGCTTTGTTTACCCAGCCATCGACAAGAGAGTTAAAGCTGGCACTGATCTATTTCTGAGTGTATGCTAATTAATTTTACAACAAACGGATGCTAACAGCACTTGCTCTTTCGCTCTAAGTAAGTTATTCATGGGGGTTGATTTATGTTATTTTTTTTCCCTTAACATTTCATTATAGAAGTTTTCAAACAGACAGCAAAGTTGAAGGAATTTTCCAGTGAAAGTTTGGTATACTCAGCACCTAGATTTTTCATGCCCTTTACAGCACATTCTTTAGGAACAGCTTTCTTGATTGATCTCAGCTTCGTCTCTGAGTCATCTCACAGTGCCCAGCATGCTGTTTGCTATTAGTTGAGTCATTTGGGTGAGTACTGATCATTCACGGTGCCTCAGGCAGGAATAAGTGATGAACAACTAACCAAGAGCAGAATCCAAAGAAGCAAAACAAAGAGACCTTTCATGTTGTGCATGTTATTACTGGTAAACTCTCTGTGCAAACTTATGATCAACAGTCACCTGGTGATAAAAGTTTTGAAAAAATATCCAAACTATAACATTTGCGTTTTAAGCTAAAATTTCTGAGAGTTCTTTGTGTCCCTTATTGTCACTCTTTCTCTTGCTTTTCACCCAGAGTGGATAATGAAATGAGATGGAACTCACATGGTGCATAAAGGGACATTTACTCTCACATGCACTGGCCAAATAATACTAAGTGCACTTGACCTTCTTTTCCAACAGTACTCAACCCTGCAGCAGCCATTTGAACATGAAGGCCACACTTATAGATATCTTAGCCTTTCTCTCTTTAGAAAACAAGTATCATCAACTGAGATCACTGGAAATACTGCAAGGACGACACACTTAAATAAATCACAGCTGTGAGAACCATTGTCCACCTTTCAATGTGATTATTGGCTGGGTGTAGCTAAGGGTTGTTATGGGTTGAATTGCTTCCCACTGAAAAGATGTGTTGAAGTCCTAACCCCCAGAACCTCAGAATGTGTCTTATTTGGAAATAGGGTCTTTGCAGATTTAAACAAATTATGATGAGGCCATTAGAGTGAGCCTTATGAATTCAATGTGACTTGTGTCCTATAAAAAAAGGGGAAATTTGTACATAACGACAGACACACACATAGGGAGAACAGCATGTGAAGAGGAAGGTAGAAGCTAGGAGAGAGGAATGGAACAAATTCTCTCTCACAGTCCTCAGATGGAACCAACCCCTTAATCCCATACTTTTCACCTCCAGAACTGTGAGACAATAAATTTCTCTTGTTTAAGCCACCCTATTTGTAGTATTTTTTTATTGCAGCCCTAGCAAATTAATACAGGAGTGTTGGCAGGAGCTCAGAGACCATAGCTTAAAAATACAACAAATAAGTAAGTAAGTAAGTAAATAAGTAAATAAATAAATAAATAAATAAATAAATAAATAAATAAATAAAATGTGTGCAAAGCTGAAAGCAGTGATGAGGAAACTCCATACTATCTCCCACTGTGGCTGCACCAAAATGCATTCCCACAAACAGTGCAAGAGGGTTCCCTTTTCTTCACATACTCCCCAACACTTGTTGTTTGTTGATTTATTGATGATAGCCATTCTGACAGGTATGAGGTGATATTTCATTTTTGTTTTAATTTGCATTTCTCTGATGACTAGTGACACTCAGCATCTTTCCTTTGTCCATTGGCCATTTGTATGTCTAGTCAGGTCTTTTGCCAATTTTTTTAATTGGATTGTTTGGTGGGTTGTTTTTGTTTTTTTTGCGGGGGGGGTTTGGTATAGTCAAATTATTACAAAACTTCCTTGTGTAGGACTGGCTTTGAGGCATGTACTCGCCAAGCCAACCCCCTTCTCTCTCTCTCTCTCTCTCTCTCTTTCTCTCTCTCTCTCTCTCTCTCTCTCTCTCTCTCTCTCTCTCTCTCACACACACACACACACACACACACACACACACACACACCACATAATCTGTAACAATTCTCTGGTTTCAATCAAAGGCTACAGGTTATCCTGCACTGGAGGTATATGGGTGTGAGTAGGGGGAGAGAAACAAGTTTTCACATATAAAGACTGGATTATCATTCCATTCTTTATAGAAAATATTATAAAATTATTATCTTTTGTAGAAGCAATTGAAACTATGCAACCAAAAATTATTGAGAAAAGAATATTATAGAAGTGTGTCAGGCTAAATAAAAACACTGTGTTGTTCTTAGGGATTTTGTAATACATATGGCATTTGCCAGCTTTTTAAGATTTATAATTTTTAGTATTTCTTTTCTCATTATAGATATTCACTTTTATACCTAGTTTGCTATTTCTTATTTGTACATTTTTTTTAAATAAGACCTATGCCAGTTGTATAAGCACTCAAAATTCTTGCAAAGAAACTAAGTATTTTAACTCCTAGTCTGACAATCCTAGCAGCCTCTCAGATCTACCCAGCCCATTGACGCGGTGTCAGAATCAAAAGTTACCATGGAGAATCTGACCAGTGGTAATTTCCACTAAGACTAGGTCTTTTTTTGTCTAATGACTTATTCATGTTGAACATTTTGATGCCAAGAAAAAAAAATTGAGCAATTCCCCTTTCCCCACCCCAAACCTCTACCCCAGTAGTTTTCCTTTACACATATACCTCTTCATTTCCTGATTCTGGTCTGGGCTTGAAGCTAAGGTACCTGAATCCTGGCAAAAAAGCTGTTATTACAATAGTTTTGACTTAACAGGAGCAGGAAATACCAACAACCTTATGTGAGCTATTCCCCAGTGAAGATCCAACCTGAATGCATAAATGTGGGGCCCTTGCATAACTCAGGTGAGGCTCAGATGAGATTGGGACATCTGGAAACACCTTTCCTCCTAATCTTTAGAGGCCACTGGGTAGATATGGATTCTGCACCATGAAATGCTGAAATAAGGAACTGGAATAACATTTTTAATGCAAGCCCCTGAGAAGTAACAAATAACATTTCTATTGGGAATATTATTTCAAATACTAACTTTAATTGTCGAACAGAGGAAAAATATATAAGATTACCAACAAAAACAGAGAAGATTTAGTCTGTTGAGAAAAGGGATTATTAGATTCACTGCCCAGTCCTTGCAAAATTAAGTATTTTCATTTTAATACTTCAAGGTAAAACAAAATAAGAGTCCCTTTCCCCAGTGCATTATATGGAAGAAATAAAGAAGAGAGAGAAAGAGAGAGAGAGAGAGAGAGAGAGAGAGAGAGAGATGCAAACTGCCCGATCCTCCCACAAAGACCATAAGCCAATTCAGAAAACCAATAAAGCGCATACATTTCAAAACATTATGCATCTTTCTTTCAATGAAACATGTTACTAACAAACTGATGTTACCAATATCTACACTGTAAAGTTTGAAACTTCATCCTACTCTTCAATATTACCTTAAATCCTTGTCTCAGGTGTTTATGATAACTTTCTCTTCCTTCACCTTGGACACTTTTGCCATTTTCTCTTAGTTTGCAGTATTTACATAATTGTTTTGTAGTCCTGTTTACTATGCTAGTGATAGCATTCAAATGAAACACACATTTTAGAATTGGGTTGGCCTTGTTGTGACCTGCCTGATGAATCACTCTTGGTCTACTGGCCTGTGGTTTCCCAGCACTGACACAACACTATTTTTCCCCATTAATTGGAGAAGCCTGTTTATGCAGAATCAAATACATGTCTGGGCTGGGCTATTTGAACTGCTTTGGGGAAGAGCACTAACAAAAGGCATCTGGGTAGCTAGTTTTCTCCTTGAAGTCTAGACGGGAGGGAAGCATGTGGCATGAGATTTTCAAAACAATTTCCTCTGCAGGAGGGTTGAGTATTTTTGCTTATATGGTTGGCTCTAAGCATAATTCCATGACTTCTATTTGCTTAACTCCCCAATATTTTGGTGTGGATGCATCTACTATGAGGATGGTCACAAAACAGAAACAGTGGCACTGGGCAGAAGGATTCTTGGAGGCTAGAAGAGACCCCACTATTATACATCTCCCACAAAGTCCTTCACTCAGAGTAAGAACTCGGGTCTGTGTCTGTCCACAGGTGGTTAAATGAATGAACACATTAAGAAAGGAGCAGAAATGGGACATGCAGCTAAACTTTATGGGGAATGAGGCCCTGCCAATCTCAGAGACTTACTTAGACAAGAACCTGCTAATCTTAGTGGCATCTTGGCTTGATGGATGTGTGTCCTGGCACTGATGGAGCCCCACCAAGCAACCCAGGTCATGCCCATTCTTCATTGTATGACTGCTAAATTAATATGGATATCCAGACCATTTATTCTCCTGAAATCTCTATTCTCTATTTTTTTAAAATATATTTTATTGATTTTTTACAGAGAGGAAGGGAGAGGGATAGACAGAAACATCGATGAGAGAGAAACATCAATCAGCTGCCTTCTGCACACCCCCCAATGGGGATGTGCCCGCAACCAAGGTACATGCCCTTGACCGGAACCGAACCCGGGACCCTTCAGTCCGCAGGCTGACGCTCCATCCACTGAGCCAAACCAGTTAGGGCTCTATTCTCTATTTTATAGATGATTCTTGCACCTGGCCACTGTTGCTCCACCCACCCACCACCTACATTTTATCCTAAATTAAAAGGATTAGGGAGGAGCCTTAAAACCAGTTTTTTTCTTAATTAGAAATGCTTATGAAAACAAGACCAGGAAATGAGGGCAGGGAAATGGTAAAGAGAAGAGGTTGAAAAGCAAATATGATGTGGCTGTGGCTTTCAGGTTGTCATAGAGAGACTTCTCTCCAGAAGCCAGGTTAATTGAGAATAGAAGAGATAATGTATATACAAGTCATTAACCTTCTTCACTAAACCTAAAATTTACCTATCAGTCCAGCTCAACTTGACCATAATCCCAATCCTACTATAACGAACACTCTAAAGCTAGTGATTGAAGGTAGGGGAAAATGGAATACAAACAATAACAAATGAACCTCTGTATTATAAATGAATAACAAAATCACACTGCAAGTGGTGGGAAAGAAATGAGTTAACTCAAGTAACTTTTGATATAGTATTTGGTCTATATATTAAAATGCAATAGACAAAAAGAACTGTACACAAATATATACTCAAGTAAACCGTGTCTCTCATGGGTATGGGTTAACAATTCTGAAACTATTATATGTGTATATTAGGATTGAGCAAGAAGTAAATCTACTATGGATAATGAAAGCAAGATTTCTCAGTATCAAAAAAAAAAAAAAAAAAAAAAAGAGTTACAAACTAGGAAAGGGAAAGGCTAGCTAAAATGTATCTTATGGTATTGGACCAGAAACAGAGGTATCAGTATGAACGCATGGATTTGAGTGTGTGTGTGTGTTTGTGCGTGCACACGCACGTGCTCGCGTGCGCACATGAGCAAAGATGGGCTACTCTTAGAAGTGATGACCTAGAGCCTGCCCCCCTCTGTTTTGAAGTGAGAATCTAGGGTCCTTAGAGAGAGAAGGAAGATATACAGTATTTTGTCAGTGTTTGTAAGGGAAGTAGATACCAGACTTACACTGAGATAGCAGGCTCACCACGTTGTTCCAAATGGGGCCAGTGAGGACATTCCTGACCCAAAGCACAGGATGGAGCAGAGCTGTGTAATGGGGGAGGGAAGTAAGAAAATGCCAGTTACACCTAAGGACCTCTGTTCCCAAGATGTCTCAATACAGGAACCATGTTCTAGGTCAGTGGTTCTCAACCTTCGTAATACTGCGACCCTTTAATACAGTTCCTCATGTTGTGGTGACCCCCAACCATAAAGTTATTTTCGTTGCTACTTCATAACTGTAATGTTACTACTGTTATAAATCGTAGTGTAAATATCTGATATGCAGGATGTGTTTTCATTGTTACAAATTGAATATAATTAAAGCATAGTGATTAATCACAAAAACAATATGTAATTATATATGTGTTTTTCCGATGGTCTTAGGCAACCCCTGTGAAAGTGTCGTTTGACTCCCAAAGGGGTCGCGACCCACAGGTTGAGAACCGCTGTTCTAGGTATTGCAAACTCCATTTTCTCTATTTCAACTCTCATAAAATAGTCACAAATCCAGAGACTGCTGCTTAATTTTGGAATATACTCTTGATCTATAAATTTTTTTTAAAGGCGTATATTCTGTTTAAAATTTGAGCAAACCTAAAATTGTAGATCACTTTTAAGCCATTTTTTAATTAACAACATATGATCAAAATGGAAAGCACAACAATTCAAAAACAGCTCAGAGGGATTCTTCACACAGACTCAAGACAAACAATCAAGTTACTTTCTCAGAGAACTTTCCCATCGATTAGTCACTTGCACAACTTCTACTAAACATTAGTCAAAGAGAGTAGATGCCACAAAGAATGAATCACTCCCTGTTGAGGGAAGTCTCTGAGGGGTACTGACAAGCAATCCATTTGTTTCCAAGGAAGGATTTCTTTATGCTTGAGTTTGAGGAGAGAGGATGACTATAACACTTCACATCAAAACAAGACTTGAATCAGAAGATCAGCAGGCACCCAAAGGTTTGTGTTGATAGTGTGAAAGCAGCTGCTCTCTATAATGTGAGCACTGTGATGTTTCTGACATAGAATTTTCTTGTTTCTCTTTTACCACTGACTGTGTTGTCTTACCACTATCTGTGAAAATCTCATGCCCTACTAAATCTCCCTGTCCTATAACCTTTCTTTATCTGACCATCAGTCCTAAGAGATCAAAAAGGTTTAAATCAGACTTCAGTGTGTTTGCTTCCTTTGCCTGATTAAGCTGAAAAGTTTACAAGAGCAATACAATGGAAATTCAAAACATGTAATTATCCATAAACTATAGAGTCAAAGGCCTAGCCAGGAGCTAAAATGATTGTGCATAGCCCTGTTTTCCATCTCAAAAGTATGGACCTAGGAAGGGCATCACTACTACTGTCCCTTCAGTACAGATGGGAATTCAGGTTTTTAAAATGTATTGAATAATTTATTTTAATTTAATAAACTGACATTAACTGAACACTGGATAATTGCTAAACCTAAACTCTAGGATTTATCCAACAAATCATCCATAGTGATTGTTTATGATGCATGAGGGAAATCAAGACAAGTAATAAGGTGTATAACCTTAAGAATGGAAAGAGAACATGTAAACAAAATGAACAAATAATCTGATGTCACGGAGTGTGGGAAGGATGCAGAAACAGCTTAAAGGAGAGAGCTTTTAACCCTGGGGGTGTCAGATTCCTAAAGAGACGGTCTTGCAGAAACTGACATCTGAGGTGATTCTGAAGGAGGAATCGGAGGTCACCAGACAGCCTTTAGACTAGAGTAAGGGAAAGTGGAGGGGGTTGAGGGGACTAGGGCTTTCTTGGAAGCAAAGAAAATAGCTGCTACAAATGGAGGCATGAAATAGTATGTTATCCTATAAAATGCAAAGTCGGTATTATCAGAGAAGTAGATGGGCAAGATGATAGGAGGCAAGCAGGTGCCGGGCACAATGGGAACAGATACAGCTGGACGTCATCAGCTGCCCAGGGCCACCTGTATTATACCTACTGTCAGAAGAGCCATGGTCAAAATTGCATTTTGGATAGATGTCTCTGGTTGCAAACAAAATGAGAGAAACTATAGTGACAGCATGAAGTTTATACAGTCTGGTTAGAAATGTTTCTCCCCAGTATTGTTTTAATCAGTTAAGCTATATTTAAGAGCACTAGCCTTTCTTTTCTTCTGTTGCTTCAAACCCCATGCCAACTGTCAATAATGTCAGCAGCAATGGCATGGGATATGTGTGTGGGAGGTAGGTGGTTAAGACTGTCACCACATCCTTTTCACCTGCTCCTTCAGCTAGTCCACATAAACACTGCATCTAAGTAAAGGCATTGTGTTTGCTCTAAATGGCAGCTTCAAGACAAGACGAAGTGCCCCGTTCAGCTTCCTGCGGCTCTTAGAAGCCCCTCCAATATGCAAATTCTATAGCACCCACTGAATATCAGCAAAGGATTCAAAGATGATCCTTTGTGTTTTTTCCAGGCTTTACAGGTCTCACAATGCCTTCTTGTGTAAAGCTCTGCGGGAAACCCCACTGGTGTACAAATGGTGGGGAGAGGCCTCTGCAGGTGAGGCCTAGGCAGAGTCTCCATTCCTCACTGATTAGTACCATTGCTCTTGCAATTGACAACAGATGGTTTGCTATTGGCTAAATCCTCAGCTGAATTTCCCAAGTCTTTTCAAGCCTGAGCTACCATAAATTATATTCAATCTGAAAAGGCAAAAGCCTGGAACTGCTCCATAAACATAAACAGTGTTGATGATCATCTACAAAACCAACATGAATTTCCTATAGTACTTTCAACACATAAAACTAATAGCTACTCATAAATACCTTCTGGTGTTTTATACATTTTAAATAACTTTGGTTAGGTGTAATATGATTACTTCAGTTTACCTTTTTGATACTATAAATACCATGTGCCTATTTTTCTCTTCTTTTCTTTTTTTTCTTTTTCACTTTCACTTAGCTGTTAC